ACGTAGGTCCCCCGGGAACCTATTCTTTGCAGATGGCATCTGCAGTTGGCTGTGGGGACAGCCTTGCGGTACTGAGCCCTTAATCTATGGGGTCCGTGCTAATTATAGTTAGTGTCAGAATAGCATGGACTTGTAGGACACCCAGTTAGTATCAGAGAATTGTTTGGTATGGGGTCACAGAGCTGTCCTATGTTGGGTATGAGTATAGATAAGAAAAAGTAGGGCTTTTTTTTTCTATATTCACATTTTTATATAGGTTGAAAGATAACACTAGCTACCATTTATTGAAGCCTGTGTAATCTCATTCGGTCCTCAAAACCCCTCTTCTGTTTTTATTATACTCCTCTCTCGGGTGGGAAAGCTGCGGCCCAGAGAGGTTAAACACGTTGCTTAAACTCAAAAGTGCAATTGTGTCCACGGTAAATCCCTCCAGGCCAGTGCTGACATCATCCCCATCCAAGCAAGGGCATCTTCTGTGACCTTACTCTTTCTCGAGCCAACCTGTCACCCCAGGCTTGGCCAGTGGACCATCCTGCTTCCCACAGTAGCTAGGCCTGAGCAGCTGGTGGCCTGACGGGTTGGCCTGCCTACTGTCTGTCCCTAGTCTGAGCTCCAAAGCTTGGGGGCCCATGGGAGTGCTCATTCAGCACAAAATTGTTGTAGGAACTTTCTCATCCAACCCCCTAGTGTCACCTTTGGGGAAACTGAGGCCCAGAATGCCAAGGCTCAGAAGGCTGAGGCCCAGGAATAAGAAGAATCAGGGGGAAAAGTGCATGAATTTCCAGCTGTATCACCAGCCCATCGTGGGCCGTACATTGAAATGATTTCTAAGTTTCCTTCAACAAGTTGCCTTTCTGAGTCTCTGATTCTCAAAGATTTGTCCACAGTCATTAGGTTGTTTATCTGCAGAGGTGAGGCTTCAACCCTGTCCCCAGATTCTAATCTGGAATTCCTTGCTTGGATCAGGCACCTCTCTCCCTGGTCTCGGTGGGACCCAGGGTCCAGGACAACTGACCAAGCTCAAAAAGGGTCTCAAGGCTTCTCCACAGGGAAGAGGCCTGTCCTGAAAGGCAGCCCCTCCCCAGAGAATCACCCCAGGCGCTCTGGGCAACTCCCCCTCTTCAGAGATACCTGCTTGGCACAGCACCACTCAGAAGTCTTTCAAGGCTAAGCCTCAATGCCTTAGGCTCTTCTTGTATCTCTATAACACCCAACTTTTTTAAATCCCTTCTATGCCGCCCAGGCTTCTCAGACACCCAACGAGTTCATCAAGAGCTTTGGACAAGATAGACCTGAGTTTCAATCCTCCATCTGCCACCGACTCACTGTGTAATCTTGGGAAAGTCACTCAAGCTCTCAGTGCCTCAGTGGCCACCCCTGAAAACTGGACACAAGATGAGTTCATGTTCCAGGATCCTCAATACCTGAGACCCGGGAGGCATTGGGCGGGCAGGAGGCTGCTGTTGCCTCCCTTTTACACATGAGGAAATGCAAGCTCAGCACTGTTCAGCGACCTGTCAGGATTCCTCTGAGCCTCTACCCTGCAGGGACACACTGCTTAGCCCCCTTCTCTCTGGTCCCTACAGCCAGCATGGCACCCACGGCCACCAGGCAAATGAAAGGAGGTAGATTTCCTAGTTTATTTCTCCTACTCCATCTCAGTTCCCCGAGATGGGACCTTCGCTGAATATATCCCCAAATCCTGCTCCTGGCACAGGAAAGCTCAGGATGAATGCCTGAGATGCCATTTCGGGGAAATTTTGTCAGCTGGCTTTAGGTGAGGATTCGCAAACATGACTGGTGTCCAATGGGATTGCCCCAGCTCCAATTCAGGAAAGCCACAGGTGGTAATCGAAAAAAAAATCTCAGGAGAACAGCTGTCTGCTCCTTATGTCCCTCTATGCTGCCAGCTGCCCATGGAGGGATAGGTGACCACAAGGTGGGCACATGATCAGCGTACTGACGAATGTCTAAGGCAGGAAAAAACAAAGGAGAAGCAAGCTTCACGCGTTAAACAAAGCTCTGTTTAGCACCTGCACTGAGAATTCAGCAGTGAAGAGAGTGAACACAGTCGATGCCATCACAGGTTCCCTTCTGAGGTCCCAAGATACAGATCGTCTCATAGAGACCCTCATGATCCTCTTGTCCAACCAGACTCCCAGTTGAAAAATGGGGAGACTGAGCCAGGTACAGTGACTCACGCCTGTAATCCCAGCACTTTGGGAGCCCGAGGCAGGTGGATCACCTGAGGTCAGGAGTTCGTGACCAGCCTGGGCAACATGTGAAACCTTGTCTCTACAAAAAAAAAAAAAACACAAAAAATTAGCTGGATGTGGTGACGGATGCCTGTAATCCCAGCTACTTGGGAGGCTGAGGCAGGAGAATCACTTGAAACCGGGAGGCGGAGGTTGCAGTGAGCCATGATTGCCGACATTGCACTCTAGCCTGGACAACGAGAGTGAAACTCCATCTCAAAATAAAAATAAAATAAAATAAAAAACAGGGAAACTGAAACCCAGAGAGAGGCAGGGGCCAGCCACAGTCCTCAGGGAGATAGCGGCAAGCATGTCTCTTGCCTGATCTGGGAAACCCAGCCTGAGCAGAGGACACACCCAAGGCCCTAATCTCCGGTTGGAAAGCCGCCCTCTTTCTGTGGGGAGAAGGGAGAGGCATCACCCACTGCCTGCTTCTCTGATTGGCTGGAAACCAAGCCTGACCTCAGCCCAGGGCAGTCAGAAGGTGCACCCTCTCTGCCCAGAGACTATTTAAAGGCTCAGTAGGGCATGAGCCATCCCTGGGTGCGGGCATCTCACTCCAGGCTCAGGCTGGGGATGGGACTTGGCAAGCTCCCAGAAATTCTCTGACAGCCCCTCCAGGCATTCCAGGAGAGCAAAAATCGGTACTCCAGGGAGATAGGAGATTTTCCTCCTACCATCAAGCCAGAGTCTGGCCCGGAGAGGAGGCACGCTGGACAGACCTCTTGACAGAGGCCTCAAGGCCAGTGAGGCAGCAGCCAGGCCACCGGCTTTGACTGCCAGGGACCAAAAGAGGTGGGAAGGAGACTGGCTGTTCCCAGGACTTGAGGGATCTGGCAGCTAACGGGTTGGGTGTCAGGGTGAGCTTAAACCACAGCGTGAGAAACTAAGGTTAGATGCGAGGACAATCTTTCTGACACTGATGGACTGTATGGCATTTGGACATGCTGCCCACAGAGGTTAAAAAATGGGTTTCTGCCGGGCACAGTGGTTCACTCCTGCAATCCCAGCTACTCGGGAGGATGAGGCAGGAGGATCACTTGAGACCGGGAGCTGAGACCAGCCTGGGCAATGGAGCAAGACATGGCCTCTTAAAAAAGAGAGAGAAGGAGGGAGAGGCGGGTTTTAGATTTTTGGTTAGCACACCTCTTAAGAAAAGTGTTGCCGCTTCTGTCAACCCACGTCTTAAAGGGCAAAGCGAGGGGCTGGAATCAGAGCGACCAGTCCCAGACCCAGCTTCACCAGTTCCTGGCTTGTGACCTCATTCAAGTTACTAAACTTCTCCAGGCCTCAGTTTCCTCTTCTGAAACTGATGCTGAAGGCTGCTACTAACTGAAAGAGCTGTTGGAAGAGTTAATGAGACGCCATCCTGGAACCCAGAGCCCAGGGCTTGACTTATCGTAGACACTCAATAAATTCTGTTTCCTTCCTCCAGCCCCAGGGAAGTCTGGCCTCTGTGTGTTCTCAGGAGACAGATTCTTAACTAAATCTCCCCTAGAAAGAGCAGGTACCATTTTCTCTTCAGCCAAGGGTGTGTGGGGAAGGGGCTTTGCACAGCGAGACATACGAGGACCCTCTCAGAGGGCTTGACTCTTCCCTCAAAAGATCAGATTCTCCAAAGAGCAGAGCCACCTCTAGCCTGCTCTTCTCAGTGAGACCGAGAAACCGGTTCTCCCTCCTCACCCCCAATCTTCACCCCAAGGCCTGAGCCAGCCCAGCCTCTACACCCAGAGCTCTCCGCTTCCTCAATTCCTGCCCTGTGTTTGGGACTATCAATCCAGAAGCTCAGAGAAAACAGCCTGAGACCAGAGGCCACAAACAATGTGTGCAGGGATGCTACTGCTCTATCAGGACTAGGGCAGAGACACCGGGGACAGGGGAGCAGGAGCAGGATTTGGATTAAGGAGGGTAACAGGGGTCGATGTTGCTTTCAACTTAATCTTGGCAAAATCTAGGAGGGCTTCCGAGAGTCGTCATCTTTCCCCCTGGGCAATGTAAGTGCCTTTTGAGAAAAGGTGTCAGTTTCAAGTGCCTTTTGGGAGAAGGTGTCAGCTTCAAGTGCCTTTTGGGAAGAGGTGTCAGTCAAGATGGGAACTGGCTTGGCCACCCTGGAGGTCAGTTATGCCTGGCTAGAAAGGAGGGGAGATTGGAGCAGCACATGTGGTGAGGGTCAGAAGCAAGGAGGAAGGTCCCGGCAGCAGGCTGGTCTTGGGAGTCCTAGGGACGCAGGCCCAGGCCCAGCCCTGCTGCTTAGCATCCATCCACAAGGACCGGGGCAAGTCATTCTTCTCTCTGCCTCCAGTGACCTCATCTCTAAGGTGGGAATAAAATCCTGACCACCTACAGTGGTGAGGATTAAAGGAGCCCCGTGGGTGAGTGTGCCTGGCATCGTGCCAGCCATGGAGTGGTTGAACCAGCACAATCAATGCAATCAGTCACCTGGTAAAAATGAACAATTGTTAGATGTGCTGAGTTCTGTGCTGGGTACACCCAACTGTTCTAAGGGAACTTCCCAACCCTCACTTCCCTGGTCACCCCATGGTGACCCAGAAGAGCAAGTCGCCTGAGTGGCACTGTGTTTGTCCCAGCCACCAGCACCCTGGGTACCCAAAAGAATGAATTGTGACCACACAGGGAAGAGGCCCAAGTCGGGGGAGATGTCAGTCAGCATGTGGACCCTGGGTCTCCTCAGAGGTCAGAGGCCAGCCGGGACCCCATCAAGAAAGACTGGGCATATTGCCAAGATATATTTGCAAAAGGAAAAGTAATTCTTTATTGCAGGAACAGACACCGTACAAATGAGCTCATTACACAATACAGCTGCTTCTTGCACCTCCTTGCTCTGAGGAAGTCAGGGAGAGGTAGAGGGGGAACAGAGCGCATGCAAAGCCCTGAAATAAGAGGCTGAGGGACCGGGGTTTGCGTGTGCAGCCCCTCTGGCCAGTCCCCCTCTTGGCCTGATGAGAGTGGGGGGTGGCGAGGGACGTTTCTCCTGCGACGGGCACTTAGATTTCTCTCTTGCGGGAAGAAACCACCTTTCCATCCACTGACTCCTCTATGTTGATGTGGAAGTTGCTGCTGCCACCGCCACCTCCCAAAGAGGCTAGAGAGAGAAGGAGCAGGCTTTGGAGTGGGGGAACCTGCCCCCTCTCCCAAAGTGGCCGGGACCTTGATGGGGCTCTGGGGAAACTAGACAGCACCCCTGAGAATGGCCACCGACCAACCCCTTAAGAGCCGCCAGAGATCTGTGGTTGAATCCCTTGTCACAGGGCTGGGCAGTAGCAATGGCACGTCTGCCCAGCAGGGAGCGACGACATGAGGGTTTTGAAGCTGCGTGTGAAAGGGGATTCACCGTGGGCATCTTAGCAGAAGTACATGAAGATGGGGCCTGGGGAGAGACATACCCTGAACGAAGCCTACTCAACCTGGAAGTTTCTCAATAAATCGCCAACCCTACTCTCACCTGGGGCTGATAGAGGGCCTGCCGGGGAAGAGGTATCCAATGGAATGGGAACGTTGCTGCCTAATGGGGTGTTTGGGCTCTTTCTCCTTCCCTCCCTAGTCCTCAGGGAGTGGCGGCCCTCCCCATCCCACACCAGAAGAGTGAAGCCTTCCTACCTTCCCTGATGCCAATGCCAGCCATCCTGAAAGAAAGAAGGAAGCTCACTTAAGCAAAGGGCAGAAGCTCAGGTGTCCCTAAGGGAAGCTCACGTGGATAGCTATGCAGTCTCCTCCAGAACCTACACCACTCACACACCTAACTCCTCTTAGGGGTGGGACATCCTGCTAGCCCATCCAGGCCTGCCACCCCCAAGTAGATAGATTCTTTTGGGGGGGGGGGGTTGTTTGTTTTTTGAGACTGAGTCTCGCTCTGTTGCCTAGGCTGGAGTGCAGTGGCATGATCTCGGCTCGCTGCAACCTCCACCTCCCGGGTTCAAGTGATTCTTGTGCCTCAGCCTCCCAAGTAGCTGGGATTACATGCCCACCACCATGCCCGGCTAAATTTTGTATTTTTAGTACAGATGAGGTTTTGCCATGCTGGCCAAGCTGGTTTCAAGCTCCTGACCTGAGCCTCCCAAAGTGCTGAGATTGCAGGCATGAGCCACCGCACCTGGCCGAGATTCTGATCTACAAGAATACCCGTCTATTTCATGCAGAGAACAGAATGAGCACTGGATCTTCACTATCATTAGCCCAGCCTCTATTATTTGCAGAAGAAACACAGATCCAGAGAGAGGAAGTGACCTGCCCCAGGTAACAGTCAAGGACCAGAGTGCAAAGTCCAGATCCTCTCTCCTTGCTCAGTTCTCTTCACAGTTCCTCCAGGCTGCCACACCCTGCCATTCCCTTACGATGACCCTGCACCCTAGCCACCACCAGCCCTCAGCACTCCTCCCCCTGTGCCCAGGCGCCTACTTGGCGTCCTGGCCCTCCAGCAGGCTGCGGTAGGTGGCGATCTCCTGCTCCAGCCGCGTCTTGATGTCCAGCAGCATCTTGTACTCCTGGTTCTGAGCCTCCATCTCACATCGGAGCTCGCTCAGCTGTGCCTCCAGGCCGCTGATGAGCCCCTGGATCTGCTGCAGCTGCGTGGCATAGCGGCACTCTGTCTCGGCCAGAGAGTTCTCCAGCCCGGCTTTCTGGGGGAGCGACAGGTACATAGACACATCAGGCTGAAAAGGAACCCACTGAGGGCAGGCGGAAGGCAGCGGGCACTGAATGGAATGCAGGGAACCACCTTTTGAGGGCACTTGAGAACTCCAAGGCTTAACTAGCCAGGAAGGGTGGGAGCTTCTACCAGCCGAGAGGCCGGGATGGGGGACGTGGGTGGCCGTACCATGCTGAGCTGGGACTGCAGCTCGATCTCCAGCCCCTGCATCGTGCGTCTCAGGTCTGTGATCTCCGTCTTGCTGGTCTGGATCATCTCTGTGTTGGAAACCATCTCTTTGTTCAGCTCCTCAGTCTGTAGGTGATGCATGAGAGAAGTGAGCCCTGGTGCCTCCCCGGAGACTGAGGGACCTGGGGCGGGCAGGGCAGGGCAGAGCAGGAGGTCGAGCCCACCTTGCTGAAGAACCAGGCCTCAGCATCCCGGCGGTTCTTCTCCGCCATGGCCTCATACTGCTCCCGCATCTCCGCCAGCACGCGGGTCAGGTCCACGCCTGGCGCCGCGTCCATCTCCACGTTGACCTGGCCGGCCAGCTGGCTGCTAAACTCCTTCATCTCCTGCAGGGTGGGAGGGGCCATTTAGAGATGGAGAACAGAAGAGAGACCTGAGAATCTGCGTTCCCACATGCCAATCCTGGCTCTGCCCCTAACACCCCAACCGCTGCTCCCCATTGCACACGAAGAGGTTTGGTCACGAGGAGCTCTCTGCTGCTCTAGGTCCTACCAAGGGAGGACCCCGAGATGGCAGGTCTCTGACGTGAGCTCACAAAGCCAGTCAGGAAGATAGCCATTCATACTAGCCACCCGACTTGGCTGTGGTCTGGGCTACCAGGGGACAGAACCCCTTCCTCTCCATGAGGACACCTGGTTGGGGGCTGGAGGGTGTTTCTGAACCGAACCACTAAGCCCCAGGCCAACTATGAGGAAGCACCAGCAGCCCCACTCTGCCTCCCACCAACTTAATCTCCGGAAAATCTGGGAGGGCTTCCTGGAGCCGCAGTCTTTCCCTCTGGGCAATTTAAGTGCGTTTTGGGAAGAGGTTCCCTACCTCTCTCAGGTTCGGGGATGATGGGGACCATCTCTCACCTCCTCGTGGTTCTTCTTCAGGTAGGCCAGCTCCTCATTCAGGCCCTCGATCTGCATCTCCAGGTCAGTCCTGGCCAGGGTCAGCTCATCCAGCACCCGGCGCAGGCCGTTGATGTCAGCCTCCACACCCTGGCGCAGGGCCAGCTCATTCTCATACCTGAGAGGAGAGAGGGAGGCCAAAAAAGGAAGTGGCAGGGGTCCTGGGCTGCCTGAGTCCGAGCCAGGAGAAGGCCAAGTGAAGTGGGCAAGGCAGGAAGCATTGAGGGAGGCGGGAGCGCACTTGAGCCTGAAGTCGTCCGCAGCCAGCCTGGCGTTGTCGATTTCTAGGATGACCCGGGAGTTGTCGATGGTGGTGGCCATGATCTGCAGGAGACAGGGTTGGTGCCTAGAGGACTCCTTTCTCTCCCCTGCTGCTCTCTGCTCTGCACCCAAAGCCAGCCCCTCACTAACAGTCACCCCTCTGACACCACCAGCAAACATCCGTAGGGCCCCTGGGGGGGCAGAGTCCAGCCTCACTTTGAGTGTCCATTTCTTGTTCTGCCGCATGCCACCCTCCTTGAGACACCTGAGGAGCTGCCCTCCCTGTCTCCAGGGTATGAAAGACCAAGGAGGAAGTATTGCCTATGGGAATTGGTGGCCCCAGAGAGTGACAGAGTGAGGTGCAGTCGGCTCTGACAATGGCCCTCTCAGAGACACTCCACCAGCCCCCCATGGACCAAGTCATGGCCACTGCCTCCTGAACACCTTGACACAGCCATGGATCTACAGAACATTCCAGCCAGTGGCAACCTAGAGAGCAGCTAAAGAAGGCATTTTACAAATGAGGAACCCAGTCTCAGGGAGCAAAACGGTGAGTGAGTAGGTGGCAGAATGGGTTATGGGTTCCCAGGTCTCGGAAGACCCAACAGTACTTTTAGCACAAAAGCCCTCTTTACAGGAAAACACAAGAGGCTGTAGCATCTGGGACTCATGAGGCTACACTCCAATCCCTTTCTTGCCAAAGAGGTAAAGAAACGCTCTATGCAGAAGCCTGCAAGGTGCATGAGGTAGGGAGGGTGAGCTGCTCTTTTTAATTATTATTATTATTAATTAGAGACAGGTTCTCACTCTGTCACCTAGGCTGGAGTGCAATGGCACAGTCATAGCTCACTGCAGCCTCTAACTCCTGGACACAAACAATCCTGTCACCTTGGCCACCCAAAGCACTGGGATTACAGGTGTGAGCTACCGCTCCTGGCAAGCTGCTCTTTATAATTGCCCCCAGCTGTGCCCCCGTTGGTCCTAGCCAGATTCCCAAGACCCCTCCCTCCCTCCCCGACACCAGCAAGTAGAGAAGGTGTGTGCCTGCCTCTGCACTGGACAGCAGGTGCATTCCCAACTTGCTGAGGCTGCACAGCAGACAGTCGTTGCTGGACAGGAAAGGATTTTCTCGAGTCAGCAGTGACACTGACATTAGAGGCGCGTGCAGGGCGCCAGCCACCTGCTCCCCTCTCTTTGACATCTGAGGACTCACCTTGTCCCGCAGCTCTTCAATGGTCTTGAAGTATTGGCTGTAGTCACGTTCCGGGCTGGTCGGGGCCTGCCTCTGGTACCAGTCCCGGATCTTCACCTCCAGGTCGGCGTTGGCCTCCTCCAGGGCACGCACCTTGTCCAGGTAGGAGGCCAGGCGGTCATTGAGGTTCTGCATGGTGATCTTCTCATTGCCAGAGAGGAGGCCACCATCTCCACCACCAAAGCCACCACCAAAACCCCCACCAACACCACCTCCAAAGCCTCCACCGAAGCCACTACCAGCCCCTCCGTCAAAGCCACAGCTCATGCCGCCCCCATATCCCACTCCAGACCCTGAAGAGACAAACCTAGCAGAAGAAGCTGAGATGCTTCGGCTTCCACCTCTCCCATAGAGACTCCCCCCACCAAAGCCACCTCCCCCAGCCAGGAGGGAACCCCCTCGGATAGAGCCACCCCCAAAGGTGGAGGAAGAAGTTTGCAGAAATGTGGTGGTCATGGCCAGGTAGCCAGTGCCTGTGAGTTCTCAACAAGCTCAGAGATGCTGGCAGGAGGTGCTAGGCCAGGCTGCACTCAGAGCAGGGCGTCTGCCACCCCCCAGGTGGGGCTCTTTATATACCCCTCTGAGGGTATTGTGGGACCTGGTCTCCTCCCCCAAAGCAAAGCCAACTCCTTCTGTCTTCCTGACAAACCCAGCTGCCTGCACACCCTGAGTGCCTCCTGTGAAGTCTTTCTCTTCTGCTTTTTTTTCCTAATGCAACAAAAGAGATGATTCAGAATTAATGGTGTTTTCCCCCAGGGCACCGTTTTAACACTTGGATTACAGGTTCATCTCTCCATGCCAGAAGAGAGCAGCAGGGAGCGAATGGCTACCAAGGCCTCTGCCTGTACTGAGAGCAGCTCAGGCCAACTGTGCCCTCAGCTGGACTTCTCCACTGCCCCAAGCCCTGAGCTTCTCCCCAAGGGGCCAGCTCCGTGTTCTCAGTTTGGGAGTTACCACTTCCCGATCATTGCGCTGTGTTATCCAACTCAAAACCCTGTGAGTGAGTGAGGAGGCCTCTGGGAATGGGAATGCAGGGTCCCTGGGGGCAAGTGGAGGACAGAAGCCAGGGTCCAGCTGAAGTGACCAGAGGAGCCAGCATCTGTCCCTTCCCTGGTGTGGGAGATGGACTCTCCTCCTCCCACCCCTACGCCCCTCCTGCCAGCCTCCAGCCTGTGTCCCTGGCATCCTCACAAAAGCCCAGCGGGCTCAGGGTTGACAAGGGGATGACTGATGATCCCGACACCTGCCAGCTGCACGTCGCTGAACCTTTGCTCGATTCTGGGATGTGTTGGGGCAAACCTCTGCTGATAAGGCTGGGGCAAGTTCCAGGAAGCCCCTGCCTTCTCCAGGAGAGGCATGTCACTGCTTAGCAGGGCCAGATTAGCCCCCATCTGTCCTGTCAAGTGCTGGCTGGGGAGGAGCCCCTGCAGAAGGCTCCATGTACCTGAGTGCTATGGAAGGAAGGGCGGGAGGCTGGCAGGCAGGCTGGAAGGCACTGGAGATCTCAAAGACCAAGGCATCACTTCATGCAGATGGGGGAGTTGAACACTCAGGAGAGCCCTTTTCTCTGCCACCAGCTCAGGGAAACCTTTCCAGGGACACCTGATACCTGTGGGCAGTGCCACTTGGAGGCGTGGCTCTGCCCTCTGGACCTGGCCCCAGGGTTTACAGAAACACAGGAAGAGGATTCCTAGCCCAGGTTGAAGCATGGTGAAGTGGACAGGGCTCTGGAGCCCCTCGGGCTTGGGTTTAAATCCTGGCTCTATCAATTACCGTAGTAAGACTGTGGACATTTACCTTTTTAAGTCTCAGTTTACCCTGAGGGAAGGGGTGCTCCCAACTCTCACTTTCCAGGGAAGCCCTGAGGCCCAAGAGCCCCCATCCTGCCTCCTCTCGGCTCCTCACCCTGGTGCCAGATGTGCAGGGGCCAGGGTACATGACGGACACCTGGGCCTCCTGAGTGCCCTCACCAGGAGGGGTTTGGCATTGGGCTTCAGAACATGCCCTGGGAGCCTGAGCACGTTCTTCGGCTCAGCGGCATCACTCCTCCTTAGCCGGCTCCTATGGGGCAGCACAGATTGTTCTTACATTCTTACTTTGCTATAATAACATAATCCTTTACTTCTACCCTTCACTTCACAATTTACGAAGCACTTTTGTATCCGTCGCCTCCTCTCATCCTCACAACAGAGGGTGACCCCCGCCCAAGTTTCGGAAGGAATGAAATTGAGACTTGGAGAGGTGAGGCAATTTGTGCAAAGTGGCACCGCTGGTAAATGGCATAGCCGGGACTCAAACAGGTCCTCAGACCCTCAACGAAACAGGGCACAGAAAGAGTCCTTCCTGCAGACCCCAAATTCCTGCATCTGAGCTGGGATGGCAAGGGGAACCGCAAGCCTGCGAGGCCGGGGGTGGGTTCCTTCTCACCCAGCTTGGCAGTGAGCCCAGCCTCCAATGCTGGGCACAGTGTGGTATTGTCTCATGGGTAGGAGGATATTGTCTTTTTCTCCGAAAGAAAAATAATCAAACTCAGATCATCCAGAGCTCATTAAAAGCCTCCTGCAGACATTTCGGCCCCAGCAATTAACACATGAGCAATTACTCTCCCGTCACCCTGGGGTGAGGGCGGGCTGGGCCCCAGCCAGATCCCCTTCTGCACCTGACTCTCCTCCAGCAGCCCCTCGAGGTGGCTTTCCCTACACTCGCAGGCCCAGGCGAGGGGTGGCAGCTACGCCCCTCGCTGTCCCACGCACAAATCCCTGGTTTCAGTCCAAACCGCTACTGTGAGCTCCAGGTCTGGGTGGGGCGCGGGGCTTCCTCATTAGCGCCAGGTGGGACAGCCTTGGGAGGATAAAGTTCTGTCTGGCCCCAGCCCAGGCTGTAGCCCCAGGCCCTGCCCCAGGCAGCTGCCCAGGACGCTGTGCCAGCTTCTGACCTTTGCCCACTGCAGCCAGATGGGGCCATCTCTGGAGCTGGCCTTTTCTCTCTGGGATGAGGCAGTGCAGCCCAGTGGAAAGAGACCCAACCTCTCTGAGCCTGGTTCCTGATTTCAACTTGGGCCATTAACACAGACTCCCCCAGCCTCAGGGCTATAGTGAGCAATAAGGACACAAGAAAAAGGAAGTCTCCATCTACCTTAGAACCTCCCACACCTCCCCTGTTCCCCAGGGAAACAAGGGACAGAGGGCATGACTGAAGCCTAGAGAGCTACCTTTAAACCTGTCTTTTCCCATTGACCAGGTGTGCGGCTTTGGGTAATGATGCCTCCTCTCTCTCAGCCTCAGTCTACCAATCAGGAAAATGGAAATAACTCCAGCCTAGCCAGACTCAGATAGAGCAAGATGACTCAGGGAAATGCTCAAGAGACTGAAGTGGCCATAATGACCAGCAGGATATAAAGGCACTCCCCCAAGCTCCCCGCTCCCCTCTCTCTCCTATCCCAGGAATCCAGGCTGAAACAGAAAAGCCTCCCCACTCCAGCCCCACCCTGCACTGTGCACACAAAGACAGGCTTCATTCCTGACACTCAGGCCTGAGACTCAGTCACCTGCCCCACCTGTGTGGGCACAGACCCCGCCCCAGTCACATTCCAGGGGCCCCTGAGGCAGAGGGAAGGTTTCAGCTGTGACAAGGGAGGCTTTCACCGGCAGGGACAAGTGCCTCTGGGCCGTCACAGCTGAGGGTACAGCCAGGCCTCTCCCTTCAGCATCAAGGCTTCCTGAGAAGTGGCGGGGTGGGTGTTTGTGGGTGCTGGAGGCTAAAACAGGATGGCTGGGGAGGGGGCAGAAGAGGGTCCCAATCCAGGAGATGGCAGCAGGGCTCTGGGGTCACATGTTCCTAACCAACCTGAGACCCGCAGGAAAAGGAGTAAGTAGCTCCTCCTTTGGGACTGCCATGGCCGTGATGGGGTCTCCAGCCTCCTTAGCAGGGTGCTGAGGACATTTAGCAGCATGTGGGCATGGAACAAGTGTCCCTCACTTGCCCCTGTCACTCACAGGGTTGGGCAGCTCTCACCTCTCCCCCAGGAAGAAGTGGGACTTCTTTCGGGGCCTCTTCCTCACCTCGAATTGGCCTCCGTTCTTGGCAGCTGAGCTGTAAACCACAGGAGCAGGCCCATACCCACCCAAGGGCAGAGTTGTACCAGGAAGCTGGGACTTGGTTCTTTTGCTGGCCCAGGGTAGGCCCCAGGCAATCCAGGTTGGGGGGTCTGTGTGGGAGGTCTGGGTCACTGCTGGGTCCCATTCCAGGCTCTGGGCCCAGGTATGGGCTGGTGGGCGTTAAGGGGTTTCTGCAGGGCTTGCCCAGTGAATGTACTAGTACGTGCATACACGCAACACACACTGACAGGTACAGCCTCCCGAGCAGGGTGCCTGGCCCGAAATCCCCAGTGTCAGTAAGATGGAGAAATGTGTCAGGAGGAACTGCCCCTAGGGATACCCAGCCTGAGCCTTCATATGGAGCAAGACTGGAGTGTGAGCAAGACAGGCACGAGCAGCGTCAACTCTAGGAGACCACCTGGCTGCGGATGGCACCATGGGCTAAGAATCAGGCAACTTAGGTTCTAGCCCTGGCTCTGCCATGTAGTTGCTGTGTGGCCTTGGACAAGTGACTTAACCTCTCTCGGCCTACTTCCTGATCTATAAGATGCAGCTCATACTAACTGCCTTTTAGGACTGTTTTTGATTCAACGGCACATATGAGGTGTTCGGTACACATTAATTTCGCTCAGATACCTCAACCCCCTGGGAGTAGAGTAGAAAGAAAACTAAATCTGGAAGCAAAAACAATTTCAAATCCCACCTTTCCCATGCATTCGAGCAGTTACATGTGGAACAAACCACTTCACCTCTCTGAGCCTTAGTTTGCCTCTGTAAAATGGAAGCAACACTTATTTCACAAGGTTATTTTAAGGACCGGGTTAAATAAAATGAAGACTTCTGCAAACAGGAATTACCATTACACTCAAGGTATGTGTGTATCCTCCCCTCCCTTTCCTGGGACAGAGTAAACTTTGGTTCAAGTAAAACCTAAACAGGGCCAGGGCCTGACTCATCTCTCCATGGGCTGAAATAACAAACCAAACGTCCTTCCTCCCTTGAACCATAAAATTTTATTGGCAGGTCAGGGGAAGCGCCGGGGATAAGGGTCCCTTCCTTCCCATCTCCTCACCCAGGAGACACCCTCCGAAGGACAGCGGAAGCCCCGGGCCTGCTGCCTTCTCAGAGGACCTTGGAGGCGGACAGGTTGTTGTAGCGATCCTCCTGGTCCTCGAGCAGGCTGCGGTAGGTGGCGATCTCCTGCTCCAGCCGCGACTTGACGTCCAAGAGCCGCTGGTACTCCTGGTTCTGCCGCTCGCTGTCAGCGCGCACATCGCCCAGCTGGGCTTCAATACCGCTGATCTGCGCCTGAATCGCCGCCAGCTCCGCTCCAAAGCGCGCCTCCGTTTCTGCCAGTGTGCCTTCCAAGCCGGCTTTCTGAGGGTGGGGAGAGGGGGGTATGACTCGGCAGAACCTGGTTCCTGGAGAGGACATG